TTTTGCACTAATTCTGTTAAGATTAGCAGGAGATTCAGTACTATTCTTAAGTTTTGGACATTGGGGTCTTAAATGTTGATAGGACCCACACTGATAGCATTGTGGCGTTTTTCGTTTTTCATATTTATCATCTGGACGTGGACTTCTAGGTCTATGAAACCAGCTTTGCGAATTAAATCCTGATGACAATTTTTTTTTCAGTTTTATTTTTATTATCTGAACTCAATTTACCTTGAGTTAGTGCATTGTATCTTTCTTTCTGCCGATCCACTACAGGCCTTTTTTGAAAGTTTCCGCAAACGTTTTCATAGGCATCAAGTTTTTCAGCTAATTTTTTAGATGAAATCATCTCTACCCATTCATCAAGAAAATGATCTCGAATTTCAGGAGGAACTCGACGTTTAAGTTGGTCAATCACCATCAAATCTAGCAACTGATCAAAAGTCTTAACTCCTAGACCAGTCACCCATTCTTTGCAATAATTTTCTATTTCATAATTGAAATCCACCCATGTGGATTCGGTACTTTTTTGATTTTTTGATGTTTCATAAATTTCTGCCTAAACTTTTAACGGGCTTAATTTAAACCGTCTTAACAATAAATTTTTCACGTGTTCATAGTCTTTAGCTTTATCGGAGGGTTCTCTAGCTATTAACTGGGTTACTTCGTAAGGAAGTAGTCCTAGTAAATGAGATACAAATTCTTCTTTATCAATTTTAGCCCATTCTGCTTGCCTTTCAAACAATAGCAAATATAGACTGATATATCCTTTCTTGTCATCGAATTTCTGCATAAGGTGACGCAGCTCCGTTTTCGGCCGGATCTGTCCGGTATTTTGAGACTTTGTCTCTGCTTCAAGTCTTAATCTCTCTAATTCATACTGTTCGTTTCTTCTCCGCTCTTTTGCTTCTTCCTGTCTCCTACGTTCTTCTCTTTCCTCCCTCTCTTTCCGTTCTTCTCTTTCCTCCCTCTCTTTCCTTTCTTCTCTTTCCCTTTCCTCCCTCTCTTTCCTTTCTTCTCTTTCCCTTTCCTCCCTCTCTTTCCTTTCTTCTTTTTCCCTTTCCTCCCTCTCTTTCCGTTCTTCTATTATTGTGTCTAAAACTCCTTTGACGAAGACTTCATCATAATCTCTACTTTCAACAATTTTCTGTTTTAAATCAACTATTTTCAAATCTGCAGTCACATGAACTCCCAGTTCAGCTGCGAGATTTTGCAAATCTTCCTTACGAGCTCTTCCTAAGTAAGACATTGTTTCTATGTTTAAAATTAACGAACACTGTGTTCCTATATTTCCTCAAAATAGCTCAAAAATGAAATATTTAAATTATATGAAGTTCATTCTCTCTACCACATTAATTGTGATTAAAATAAGAATAATAACATAGAGCAATATATATATCTACCGTATGGACAACTAAAATAAATATTAAATATAATATCAAATACGGTAATAAAATAAGACAATTTATTATTAACAGGAAGTAATAATCTGGTATCACTAATATTGCGTTCAGTGATGAACTAATAAAATAAAGCAATTCTATATGAACAGGAAGTAATAATCTGGTATCACTAATATTATGTTCAGTGATGAACTAATAAAATAAAGCAATTCTTTATGAACAGGAAGTAATAATCTGGTATCACTAATATTATGTTCAGTGATGAACTAATAAAATAAAAATACGCACGATTATTCGATCTCGGTCGGTGCCTCCAAAATAATTAAGACTGTGATGCTTCTTTGGCGATATGAAGCACTTCCAATGATGGAACACAGCAATAACTTTTTTTTAACACTCAAAAATGGCGACATACAAACAAGAAGAGAAAACATTCTAACATTTAAAAATAAATTACATTCTTCGTGCGAGAGTCGCACGAGGCACTCGAGTCTGGTTTCAAATATTGCCATTCACAAATACCTTAATGTTCATCTATTTAAATTATTTAAACTACAAGATTTTAATATTTTTTAAATCTGTTACACTTTCAAACCATAGAAAATACTGTTGAATAATGTTTATAATAGTGAGTAATTACTTGAATTATTTATAAATATTGAACTTGATACTGAAATACTTAAGAAACACCATTTAATATCTGAGAAATATCAGTCCATATTTCCGATTTTAAAGTATTTTAATTAAAATTCTAAAATACAGTGTTATAAAGTAATATTACATTTCATTCTAATTGCTTCTCGAAACATATTGCAAAATTATGCAAGAATCTCATAAAAGAAGAAAATATTGTCCTTTGATGGATTATATTTTCTATGATTTGAGAGTTTAAACTACTATTCCGCAACTCCATCCGATCGAATCTATTTCGATTGCTTCTGTCGACTACATTTGCGATTAGAGCTCAGGAATTAACACAATTATTATTTTACAACTATAATCAAGCGAATATAGTTCGAATAGGCTGCTAAATAATAAGTGTTCATCTGGGATGTTTCTAAATTCATTTAACTATGAAATGTTAATGCTTCGAGACATGATGATGATACTCCTCACTGAAATACAAACTCGTCAAGTTCCTTTTTGTAATTTCACACTGTCTACATTTTAGTCCCTAATTTTCTCTCCTTGAAGAAGAATTATTACGTGTGCCGGCAAAAGTAAATCATCTTAATGACTGCATCATAGGGTAAATGATGTCCAAAGCTTTTATTGATCCCACCTGGAAAATTTTCAAATTCATTGGTTTTGATAGGCAGTTACAAAATTACATCATTGGGTCCTTCACCTTTTCCAAAAAACGGAATGAGCTATCGTTCAGAAAACCCACTGATGAAAGACTTTCGAAAATATTTTTTTTCTCTTTTTGGTAAGACAAATGCGACTTAAAATGAAGTTAAACTGAACACAATTAATTAATTAAATAATTAAACAATAACAAATTTTATATATACGTTGCATAGTTAAATATATATAAAAAATTTTATATATATTTAACTATGCAACGTATATATAAAATTTGTAATAACGTTCTTAATCCCTTTAAGGTTAAGAACCAAGAGCAAAACCAGAATCAGAATTTTTAGTCCAAAGGGGACAAAGCGTTTAGCAAAAAGGAAGGTTTTTGTTTTGCGATTTTGCGTTGGTTCAGTATAAATGTCCATTTCACTTTTCAAACTGTTGTCATCAAATGTTAGAGTCCTGCATTATATTCAAAAAAATTAAATAAGGAAAAATCTGCGTAAATTTATGTATATTCTCGCATTGTGATAAAACAATAGTACCTAGAGCCATCGCAATTTGAATGATAAAATCTTCCTACGAATATGGGCATGTGGAAGCCCAAATTTGAAATATGGAATTTGTTTTATTATCGATTTCATATTTTGTAAATCTTTAACGAATTTTTGATTAACAAACTCAAGGATTTCAAAGCGAGCAATGGGAACGTTCTACAGGAAAAACATTTTCATCTTCATCTGTGTCGGAAATTCTAAAGATAGGCTCAAATTAAAACTATTTCACGATATTGCTCTTGAATTGAATATTATGGTTTATATGCAAAGAACGTAATATTTAACAAATAAAGGTAACAAACAAAATGTTAAAAAACGCCCCTTTGGACGTAATTTAAAATGTGAGACCTTTCAGATTTTTATTTAATATTTTATTTGATTGCTTTATAAATAAAAGAACTTATTTACAAATTACTACTACGTAATTGTGGATGCGCAACTAGCATTTTATTACGCAAAGGTATTCTTAAAGAAATCAGTATATTGGAATGTCTTACCTTCTAGGAGACAGCCAATAGCGCATAAGCAAACTGCTTATGGAAAAACGCAGCTTGTGGGGGGGAAACCTTTCTATGTAAACATATAGAGTAGTGTGAAATACACGTGGAAGAAATTCAGCTTTGAGAGAGATCTAATCGATTTTTCAGGAAATATTACTTGGAAGAAGGTTTGAATTTTAAGCAAATACTTTTATTAATTAACGAGGCACTTTGAAAAGTTGAATGTTTTCGAAATACAACTAAATGAAAATCGAATGCACCTTCCTATAACAACAATACAAATACATTTAAGTGTTTCTTGTACCATTTACATTAGAATAAAATAATTTTCTGCTTTGAAACGAATTAAAAATTATCTGCAATCATTGTACCGGCAATGTAAGTTAAGTAACACAATTGTTTTACTCATAATATGCGATATATTAAAAAGAACACATCATAGTGAACATACAAATTTCCAGAAAACAAATTCAGTTTCATTAAATGAACATAATTAGAATTTTTAAGCATTATTATGTCATATCATTTATTTTCATTTAATTAAACAGTTATCTCCAACTGTATGATTTTTGAACCCGAAATAAGTTACTTTCCATCTAAACTTGTAATCTTTTACCTGTATGCATATACGTAAAGTACTATTAGGTTTTTTAATTAAGTACATTCAAGTGAAGCACACTGCATTTCAGAACATCCCATCTTGGAATATCCAATGTTATTACTGCGAAATTGCAAGAGATTTCATAAATATTAAAAACATTTGTAATAAATATATTCTTTTATTTCTATTACTGAATTGTATTAATCCGGTACATGTATACGAAAGGGAAAAAATTTAATTTTTGCAGATTGTAGCATATTGTTAATCTCTTTCATGAAACGAAAATGTGTACACTTTATTTTTTACACCATAAAAATTATTTCATCATTAAAAGTCTTGTAACCACATAGAAAAGTATACTCAGTATAGTACCGCTAACCTTAAAATACAACATTCGCTGCATTTTAAGGTTATTTTAAGGTTTTCGCAAATTTGAGTCATTCATATTATGAAAATGTATATTAAAGCTTTCCTTAAAGTCGTAAATAAATTGTAATTTCATAAACATTATAATTCTTTTCCTAATTTTAGAGTTTGTGCACGTAACAAGATATCAGGTGCACTAAAATATATATATGTTTTTATTTTGACAACTAATTTTAGTAATCACGGGTAGTATTAAATCGAAATCGTGACTCACTTCCGAGTCCCACGATTTCAACATTTCTGAAAATGGGCCGGAAAGTTCTCTGATCCAGGCTGCTAATAGGATTACCGGTCAGGCTAACACTTTGTAAAGCAGGCATCTGAGAGAACATATCATTAGGTAACCTCCTGATGTTGTTGTTCCTGTTAAAAGAAAAAGTTCAGTAAATTAGTACCTTAATTTCTAATATTTATCGTCTTATAAAGTTGTATTAGATGTACTTTACTTTCTCATTACTCGCATCCCCACGAAAATTTCCAAAACATTAGTGGTATTGTGAATTGGCAACACATTTTTGACTACATTTACTGCTAATGGGTGCAACTCTGTTCATAAATAATAAAATTATACACACTATTAAAATTATGCACAATTTTTAGCTGCATTTCATTTAAATTTATTTTCTCAAATTTCATTAGGTATATATATTTTTCATTCAATTAATTCAGATCTCACTTCACGACAAGGCAAAAATACATAAAATCTCAACACATCGTCATTAAAAATTGTAAATTACAGAAAAACATAAAATACAAAATACAGTTAAAAACAGTTTAAAAACATTTACACTGAAAATTAGAGTTTCTGCCCAAAAACAAGCAATACAGTCAGCAGGCAGCAAGATAGATTCTTCGATGGGCAAAACTGAAAGTTTACTTTTAGTCTCACTCGGAAAAAGGCACTGAAGTTGGTTCACAAACTAACTTAATTCATTGTTCTACTAAACGTTTCAAATGTAAACAAATGGCGGTATCATTAGGCTTAGTACCACTTAAACAAATTTTAAATTGATGACAATTCTACAAAGATTGCATGTAGATCAACTAAAGGCATTAAAACCTTAACCAAAATATAGGAACAACATAATTCAACCACACTTGAAGCAAAATATGCAGAGTTTACCAACATATAGAAATAAGGGAACTGGGCTCATCGAGCTGGATAATAGAGTGGCCATATATTCATATATATATATATATATATATGCATGTGTGTTTTTGTGCATAATAGGATGACTTGGAGAAAGTTGCAACGGATTGGCGATGGCTCTTCGCGTTGTAACAAGTTGGTGAGACTGTACTGCCTAGTTAGAAGGATGATACTCGAAAACAGACTTACCCGTAAATTCTTCACATAATTTTATTCCTGGATAATTAATTCTGAGGACACATATTCTTTTTCATTTCACATCATCACTGTGGGTGCGTTATGCACACACCCATTTTATACCGATTATATTTTTAGAACAATGGACTATAGCTTGCAGAGGAAGATAAGATGAAGCTTCGTCTTAGAAAAGTGAGCTGAAACAAAAGTCTGCAGTTATCCAACATGGAAGATCACCAAGAGAAGATTTTGGTTTAAGTTGCTCATTAAGAAAAGAAAGTACTGTTATTAAAAATGAGTCATCTACATGTAGTAGAACAGTATATTTAGATACTCCCTACTAATGTTCGAGTGATTACTACCGCAGAATGGTGGTACTTCAACCTGTGTTTGAGCCGAGGCTAATGTGGTTTGGTGCAGGCAGTAGTGTTACAGTTACTTGCTGCATGGTTTGTTCAAGAGTTTTTTTCTGTGGTTAACGTCAATATGACCCGTTTTCCCTTAAAACATTCTCCATGGAGGAATCCGTCTCCTTCGGCAGATAAACCTCCTGTATTTTGTAATATTCAAATAACCTAACCTAACATATTTAGATACATTGTAAGGTTCATCTTAATTTCTCTAACAGTTAATTTTTAGTTAAAAGTTACTTTCCTGTCCTCTCTGAATTCAAGCTTACAACTTCCAGCCAGAACGTATTTTCAGAATCGCGGTCAAATGCAAATGAAGAGAAGAAGTATTTAAATGTGAAGTTCTACTGACTTCGTTAGAGAGCCAAATATTCCGAGCAGCTCGCGTTCACCTTTTAAGCTACTCTCTCTCTCTTAAGCTATTTTTACGCTCGGCCGTACCTTAGGCCCTTGATAGCTTCACCGTTAGTTAGCGTTAAGGGGCCAACTCTATTAGAATCTTAAGAGCTTTAGCTATATCTTTTTAGTTAAGATTAGTCAAGTTTCATTTCTTAGTTTCCTGAGTTCAAGCCCGAGTGGAGGCTTTATTGTAAACTCCAGGAAGGAGTCTTCTGTGAACTTTATTTGGAATAATAAAGGGTATTTAACCTCTCTTGAGTATCTGTTCTCTTTCTACCGAACTAAAGCGATTATTCGCTTATCATTTCTTAAGTTTCCTCAACTTTTGCTGTAATTTTAAAGATAGGAATCTTACAACATTTTAAACTAAAATTAAATGGAAGCATACAAATACTTATGAAAGCTATTCAACACTGGTGACATACTGATTGACAGTCACTACCTTATGACCTACAAATGTTGACTATCACTGCCTTGTACTAGTAAAAAATGGAGAAATGCAGTAAACTTAGTTTGATTAAATGCAGTAAACAGTGTAATATTAAGCACGTGGCAGGGTAACGTAATTTAACTAGATAGTAATATAATTTATCATTTCAAATTTCTTTAAAGACCGCGGTAAAGACGTTCCTAATGTATCAAAATTCGGGGAAAAACGGTATCAATAATATGCTAAATAATGTTATCCAGGTAATTCTATATTTATTTTTCATTTTGTAGTATGATTCTTAATTCGCTATCAATGTATTTAAAACAAACTTTTGTAAATAATTTGATTGTCCTTTTGTGCAGTTAGTTATTTTATAATTCTGAGCTAATTTGCCTTTTTTATTACAACAAGGTAAAATTCCTTAATTTCTGTTATATCAGGACTCTGGAAATTGTTTCTTTAAAACATAATATTAAATTGTTTGAACGTTTATTAGTGTTAATTGTATAAAAAATATTTTTTTTTTCTTGGTAACATGTTTAACTTATATTACTTTATGATTCTTAATTAAAAACAGTGTTATGGAATAAAGTAACTGCGAAATAAAGTAATTGGTATGAAACAAACTGCAACTGCAAAACCAGCTTAACGATGGGAATATCAACAAGTGAACTAAATTGGCATAAACTGAGTTATTAAATTAAATTCGTAACCTAAAATTTCTGTGAAAGAAGCAAAATAAATAGGTGAAGCAAAGCTGTATTTAAAAAAATCACCACAGAATTCTGTGGCATATATAAAATACATCAGCCATAGAAACAGCATTATTATTCCTCGTATATGATGTAAAATTAAAAACATAAATGAATAAATAATGCATACCTGATTGCGAATTAATGGAATATGAAGTACATTCATTCAGAAAACTAATAACGAAACATTTTTTTAAAATTAATATCCAGCTTTCAGCTTGATGTGTACACTCTTTCAATTTCGTTAAAAGTAAAATTTATTTAATCAATAGTTACTGACAGAAAGATTCTTACTAGGCAACGGATCTTACATTCATTACCTTTCTCAATATAACCTCTGTGGAAATTTATTATTTAACTTCTTAAATGTTTTACGAAAATGAAAACTGTTTTCTCCAAAGTCGAATACTTTAAAAACAATTGCATATTGATAGACATATTAAAGATTATAAAATAATTCGTTTTCTTTGGAAGATAAGCTTTTTTACAAGCATATAGTGCCATATAAAATGAATTAAAAATATATCTTTTAACCATTAAATTTATAGAAAGAGTTTTGTTAAAAGTAAACGGAACCCATTTTTATAAAATATGGTTGCCGAAGTTCTGCTTCAAATTTAATTTGATATAACTACACCAAACACTTTTTTTTACATAAAGAATGATTTTCTGCTCGTTTCTATTTTATAAAAGTTGTTTGAATATTATATGCTTCTGAAAAGAGATATAAAGAACAGTGTATGTTCATGAAATGCTAGAAATTTTCTTGTGAATAGATGCAACTTTTAGAAATCCGCTTAAATGAATTTTCCATACAATGCATACCTGATTAGAACCTTTTGCTTTCTACTAACAAGTTCAATGGTAATTTTGAAATTATATGAGAGTTAAGTAACAAATACACTAAAATACATTAGATGATTCTGAAATCTTCAAATCTATTCTCAAGCTGTTCTAATATTAACGATCTGGCATTTTTTGCTATTAACATAATATCCTTGATAGATTTCTGGAATAAACAAAGTTGTTTGCCATGAGAATATGTGAAAGGGACGATTTCAATGTAAATTTCGAAGGCATCGTTCTTTCAAATGCCATTTATTAATATCTTTAAATTTACATATTCAGTGATCGTTTTCAAAATTCATGTTACATGTTCTCTTTCGCTTCCATTATAGAATCCTGTTTAGTTTTACTAATAGTTATTTAATTTTGTGGCTTTTCTTGAATTCTCTTATTTCCCCTCGCCTTTCCTTGCCAGGATGCAAATCAAGCAAGTAAACCAGAGCATTTAAACTGTTGAAAGGAAAAGGTTAGACAGAGCTTTATTTCGCTAGTGAAGCGCAGGTTTGCTATTTGTCCTCTATCTTTGGCTACGCATTCTGGCCGTCTAGCTAGTATATCGCCGGTGTATGTTTCTGAGTCATTCTGTTAGATTTAATTGATTTGTGTAGTCTAGCACTACATCGGAGTCGTCAAGTAGAAACTTTAACCCTCTGGGCGGCCAAGAGTTTCGCTAAGAAAGCACAAATTTCCCAAAAGTCCTGTGAGAACAAATTACTTTTTTTTTTATTTTAATGCAAAACCTCTCCTGGTATCTCATACCTGAATTTGTTTTCTTTTGATATATTGCCTTAATTTCGTTGGCATATTTTAATATGCACGTATATATACGTTCTTACAGATATCACAATAAATATTCTAGGCCATATATATACGGCCTTGCCGCTTAAGTACATCTAGTTACCATTTTATGCTTGAAACACATGCTAGATTTCACAACATGAACAGCATCTGAAAGCCATTAGTAGACTTCCCTATTACTAAGCTCTTATGTATCACAGAAAATCAACGGCTTTCTCCACTTATATGCGTAAAGCCATAATACATGTTTCATTTCGTTAAAACATGACAAACACATGTGCTTGTAGTTAAGAGCTTACTCGAACAAGGTAGAGAATTTTATGAAAACATTTTAGGACCGAAGTTAAAGACAGGGTGTAAATACAAAATGTAAATTTTGATAAACTGTCCTTTTAGAGCAAAATATGCAGTTAGTGAAATGTTCATTAAACTTGCATAAGCTAAATGCAAAATTCTGTATACATTTAAACGCAAAATTTATGTTGATATTTGAATTGTTAAATTTATGAAGTTCCATAATTAATAAAGATTTCACTTTTACCTAATACACAGTTAATAATCCTAAAAAAGAGCTTGTTATTTCTCTCTCTGGTTAATTTTTTAAACCTTCAAAATACCTTAGTAACAAGCATTGAAAAAAATGTTTGATTTTCGGAAATTCGTTCCTGTATTCTTCTACTACTTTATGTTTGATTAACTAAAGTATAATAAACATTTTGCTAATTCAAATTCCTAAACTCAGTGAACATATAAGGAAGGAGACAAATTTTATTCACAAAAAAAAAATTTGTACTTAGCTTTTCTTTTTTTAAAAAAGCTTTCTTTCTTTCAGTAGCGCTGAAACTCTTTTCTTAAGATTCCTTATTTTATTTTGACAAATTTTGTAATTGATAGTACATGTCTAAGATCAATGCCTAAGAGAAGAAAGCTTTTAGACTCATTTTTCAACTACCCTTTATACCCACCACTATATAATACAAACCTTCCACAAACATTAGAGGAGTTTCTTGAAAAGCTAAAAGCACAACTTTTTTCTACTGAATGTCAAACTGTGTATCAAAAATTTAACGAATTCTTCAAACTTTATAGAAATAAGCGAAATAAATATGGCTACTAATTTCATTCGCTACTTTGTTTATAATTTTTTGTTTGTATGGCCTTATCTTGGACAAACTATTTTACCTAGAAATAGTTCTCTATTTACACATCCATGCAAGACACAGTTTTGGTAAATTGTGTAACATGTAATCGTTGAATAGTTCAGAGTTTTTCACAAATTACAGTGTCAATACAAGTCTAACGACATCTTACTTTTGACATGAGAATAAATAAATGGTAAAAATATATGAAAAATTTAAAAGGTTTCAGATTTTAACTGTCGGTCCGTTGAGCTGTTTTACACTCTCGCTTAGATTGCAGTCTACCAATCTACAATCTACTCTTGAACACAATCCTGCTAACATTTTTTTTTTGTCTTTTTCATCTTTATTACTAAGCATAAATTCTAAAAGCAGCATATGTTTAGAATTCTCGATACAATATTAAATATTGGCATACATTGTTCTATTCTTTTCAGTCTTCTATCAGTCCATCATATATGATGTTCAGTTTTCTTAGTAAGATGGTTTGCAGATTTTTTTTTTCCTTTTTATTATTAACCTTTTGTGAGTCAACTTAAAATTAAATATAACTTTACACTTACGCTGCATAAAATTCAATTCAACAGCAAAATCATAAAATAGTTAAATACAGGATATCATTAGAATTCCCGACAGACAGTCACGTGCGCTGGGGATAGGAATGCTATATCTCCAGTGTTGCTAATACTCGCTTTCTAAGCTAGAGTTAATTGATTAAAAATTCATTAAAATTCTACAAGTATGAAATAAATAATAAAAAACATAATGCATCTTTCTATGAAAATATTGAAGATTTTTAATTAGATAGATCATAAATTAAATGCTTTTTTAATATTGAAATCAATCCGATTCAGAAATAGAAAACGAATATTCTTAAGAACTGCATCCATAGCTTTCAAAAGCTTAATTTGCTAATTCAAAATAGACAAATTCAATTTGAAAGACCTTACATTTTGCTGAACGGCAGCAGACTCGAATGCAAAGGTAAAAGACCCATTTAGAGTAATTCGACCCAAATATGTGTTACGAGACTAAAAGCCCTTTGGGGTTAATAAATTCATTGTTGTTAATTACCACAGACATAATTCTAAAATTGGATTTCGTTACGTTGTATAATATGAAAGTGCTGAATGTTCATATCAATAAATTTTCATTAATATCCCTATTAACAAACCTCTCACAACGCCGTACTTGGACGATGATAGGACATTAAAACATAATAAAATAAAATAGTATTTATTATATGGAATAAAACAATGTTAACATATTTTCTATAAAATTCACATTAAATTTCAACAAACGTTTATCTAAATTCAGCATAATAACATTTAAATTAATCACAATCCTTATACAACTGAAATATTCTCCTTTCAATAACATTTAATGTCGAGAGCAGGAAATCAAAATGAACTAGCCACTATTTGATACAGAATATCTATACTTTACACTCAGTTAGATAACAGTTCAATTTAAATAGTCACCCAACGTAGAAACAGCAATATTCCAGTATGAAATAAAATGCATATGAGTATTTCTTAGAAGCAATATAGGAATAATGTATATGTGTGGTATACTGAACTCTGTTTGTATCATGACAGAATACAAAATAGGACTCAATATTTATTCTTGTGCACAGAATTAACCAATGTCTACACAAAATTTAAAATTTTATAAAAATCATTCATATGTTTATGATGATGTATACAGAAGTTTGCAAGAAAATAATTAGTTATAGGAAGAATATTTTTTATGAACAGAAATTATTTAATTTTTACTATATCGCCGTAGGTAAACCCTTAGTGGAATATTTCTGAAGTAAAATATATGGATTACTCTTTAGAAATTAGCTTTTTCCTCCCGCTTTTTTTTTTAATTTTTTTTTTATTGCTGCTTCATTTGGAGCTGATATTCTCACAGCGCTTACTTTAGAGACTGATGGTGAGTTTTATTTAGACTTACTAGTAAAGTAGACAGACTTACTAGTAGCTTTAGTAAACTCGCGCTTGTGAACTTACGCTAGACTTGAGGTTTGATCGGCTTTACCAAAAATCAATTAAATCGTATTTTTTAACTACCGTATATTCCGACGTATAATGCGCAGTTTTAATAAAACAAAAGTACTTTCTTTTCGTCGTACAAGGAAGTAAAAAATAAAAATAAAATAAAATTTTAATTAAAATTTTAAAAAATTTGGAAGCTTTCAGATTTTTATATTACGCCCAATGCGACGTATTTTTTTTATTTTCACACATATACACGTTTCGAGAGCATTTGTGATAATGTCCCTATAGGCTCAAATATTTGAAAACAGCATATCTTTAGAATATCCGACAGGCAGTCTCGCGCTGGAGATCAAAATGTATTATTCCGTACAGTTGTGTCATTGCTCTCTTTGAAATCGTCGAGTTTGTTAATCAAAATTTCTACAAGTTTTGCAAAATATGAAAACATACTCGAATAAAATAAATTCGAAATTCTAATTTAGGGCTTTTTAGTGCCCAACTTTGGGTGGGAGACTATTATTCAAAGTATGGTATCTCTAGGTACCGTTGTTTTTTTACAATGCGAGAAACATACATACATGCATCAGGATTCTTCATTATTTAATATCTTTAAATATAATACAGAGCGATAATATTGGGTGGCAACAACGCTTTTAGTGATTTGACGCAAAGATCCTTCGCGATTAAAAAGATCGAAATTTACGGGTGCGTAATACGGGTTATAAGGCGAATATACCTAAAAATTTTAAAAAAATATAGTGTGAAATTAAACATGCGCGTTATACGGCGGAATATACGATAATTAACAATTAAGGGAACAGGAATAAGATTATGCCTCTTCATGAAATTAGTTCAATATTTATATGTTAATTAAAGATATCAAAATTAAAGTCTGTAACTTATCCCACCTTAATAATAAATTGCTTTACATTTTAAATAAACAAATGCTACAGTGAAAGGCGATAAAGAAAAGGTTACTGAAGCGGACCGAAAAGGAGTAATTTACGTGTAAATCAAAGCGCTAACAAAAATATTAAGAGTTACTATAGCTAATTATATAAGATAGTTTTAGAAAATAATATTAAGAATAAAGCTCCGTTTAATTTTGGACAATACTTTCTTTACATCTTTCGAACGATTTCATATATATATATATATTTCATAAGATAATTTTATGAAATGTCTTTTCATAAATTACAGCTCTCTTATAAAAGGGAAGATTTTTAAATCAAATCTATTATTTCCACCACTGAATTAGATATTTCACACTGTGCAGTGGATTCTTTCATACATTTCAGACAAAAAAGAAATGCATACACTTTTACGTGGACATATTACTACTTAAATTTTTAGGATAATAAAATAAGTCATTGCTTATGAAATGATGCTGCCAGGGTCACATATAAATAACCAGTTAACAGAAATGCTTGAAAAATGAAAATCGTAATGTTGTGTCTACTATAAAATGTAAAATGAAAAGCTATAAAATGGCACTTACGACAAGTTTATGACTCCCAATTCTCTTGCAGGATAAGAAAAATAAGACCTTCGCATTTCTTGAATCCTGTTATTGGATAAGTCTATTTCAGTCAGCTTATAAAACGAAGCGAAGACACCATTGTCCAAAGAAATCAATCCAGAAGATACAATATTCACTACAGTCACATATCCTTGACAAATACGTCCGAAATCCGCTCGCAGCACGGGAACAGTACTCTGCACAATCTGTATTTCACAATATGCTTTTGTAGTAGTTGGTGCCAACCAATACATCGCACCCCAATTCCATTCACGGTTTACGCTCACCTACCAAGAAAGGAGAGTTCCATTAAATCTCGCTCAGCAGAATAAGCAGTGTTATTATATGCACTTTTATTCACCATTTTATTTCATAACAAAGCTAATTTTATTAAAAGTAGAAATTTTAACCTTTGGAAAAAGGCTAAACTAGTAAATAATGTTCAGCCATATAAACTACATTTTTAACTGTAGATTTACGGTACATAAATAGCAGAGATCAACGGACTAAAGATTAATAGTATTGAAATAAAGACTGCAATCTAAAAATTATTAATTGCAGACAATCAGATTACAGTATAATGCCTCAAAGAGTTTACCATTAGAATTCTTTTCTATTCTTAAAACATCTTTCTAAGTATTTCAAATAATTAAAAACATAGAAATTATAAAAAATAAAAAGAAACTGACATCTGATGTTAATACGCGGATTTCAATCTAATGCCTAAAACAAATTTCAACTGAGCAATTACGTTTGATCTTCTAGTTTACGAATTAATTCCCTAGATATTTGATATATATAAATTTGACATATAAAACCTTATATCTAAGCTGACTTTTTACAAACATTAAGTTCTAATGATGTCATTTTACCGTAAATTAGTGCCTTAAGAACATATTTAGCAATTATTTGATAAATTCAAGATGTAACTGTGCAGTTATATTATTTGATCATTTGTGTACGAAGCTTGCAAAAAATATTTCGTTCAAAGCCAATACTTTTTATTTGCCGTAAAGTCTACTTTCTTAAAACAAGAGATACCTTTTTCAAGCTATTTACGTTATTATTGCAAATGGAAAAAAATAAATATTTGGGACAATTAATAAAATATTTGATTTTAAATCTCGTTGTAACTTCACTAACGTCGCTTGTTAATTTTCGTTCTGTGATTTTAACAGTATTGTAAAACCTTAGTTTTGAAACTTTTATTGTTATTCAGCTTGAAACATTTTGTGAATTATTTATAACTCGCACTTAAATCAAGCAATTTTTCACATAAATACGCTAAACTAGCATAAAAGGAAAATGCTGGACTAAACGGGAAAGTTCAAGATGCATTGGCTGTGGACAGTTCACGGGAGGGTGACCCCACGTTACTACCACTGTCCAATCTGTGTTTTACAGCACTGTTTGATTGAATATTTTGTTTTTCTAATCTGTTGCACTTAGTTGTGCCATTTGCCTTCATTTAGATCGTGATATTAGTTTAATTATTCCAATCTGGATAACCTGTTTCAAAACTTGATAATTATTAATATATCCAATATTTCTCATTGCACGCGTAAGCTGCTTTGCTCGGAGTCTGAACTTGGGTGGGTGACCACCCACGTGACAGGCTCCTGCCAATCATCTCCCTCTACTCCACCTACATTTCACAAAATTTGACAAGTTTCGCCTAGTTGGCGAGGCGTAAATCGCCTTAATTAAAAACTTAAGTACCAACGCCTTAGGGCAATTTACCAACAGAGACGGTTAAAGTAGCGGTTGGCTACTAATTGCCGCTTAGCCATTGACTCGATTTCGATTTCGATTTAAACGGGAAAGTTATTTGACAAAAGACGGCTACCCTCAGAAATGTCGTAAGTAATCTTGAGCCGAAATGATGAATTCTGATCTTACAAGGGTTACAAGGGATCCACTTTGGGTTAATTGCATGTAATGAGTGTCTGGAAATTATAATACAGATATTTTCAGAAATTCTTCTGAAAAGTTAAGTTTTATACTGAAATTCGTGTAAGATATCTAATTACTTATATGGACTTATCTATAAAACTTGAAAACTATGAATCTTTTATCACTGGCTTTTAAGTTTATGAAAAGTGTAATCATTGCTTTATACTAGACTTTTTTCATTCAAGCATTTAAATTATAAAACACTTGTCATTTTTTTCATGCATTATAAGATAATAGACTCTTATCATTTTTCTCTCTGTGTGGGCAAAGTGTGGCAACATTTTTAAACTAACACAAAGCAATTACTTGAATTGAGCATCGTTATCAGAAAACCATAGCAACAGCAGGTTTCTTCAGAAAAAGATTTAATATAATAGATGTGGAGGTTGATTCATCCACTCCATTTACTTCTACTTCAACTTAGCAGAGCCGTGACGTAACGCAGCTTGCAAAGCAGCAGACGAGCGTTGGAAGTGCTGGAGACGAGACGCGTCGAAGCGCAAAGAGGATATTTTGAGATGGAATAAAGTAGGCAGACGGCCTACAGATCCTCCAAGATGCTTGTCTATAGCTAGCCATATAAAAGGGCAGGCGGGCCCTTGAATGTATTTATTAAGGACTGTGTGTTAGTCATCGTACATTCATCTTGTAGAACTTTTTGGACTGACAATAATTATTGTGAGATCACCTGCAATATTAATTTTTACTTAATTTACCTTTTTATTACTTTTATTTCTTATTAGTAAAATAAAGCATTTAAGAATGCATCACTCGTGCTCCACCATGTTCTTTTGAAAGAAATCCCTACATATATGTACTTTACTGGAAAGATATGCACGTTATTATACCTATAGAAAGAAAGATGACACACGTGTATTATTTTATTTCCTAATAATGGTTCTGTTGTATATAATAAATAATGCTTTTTATTTAAATAATTTAAAATTCAAAAGTATGACGCATGGAGTATATTTCATAACATTTTCAATGCATGTTTCAGCATTATTATCCACACTAAAGCTTATAAGGGCTTTAGCCTTGAATTTAGGTAAGATGTTCTTAGACCTACTTGGATCGCTTAAGATTTCTTGTTGATCTTGTTGCAACTTTATCACCTGCTTGATCTAATCAAATCCACGAATTTTAACTTTGCCAAGAAGCAAGTGTTTCTTCTATCATTGGTACGACCTTGGACACGTTATAGTATTGTAAGAATTTGCCCAGGTCCATCCCAGTTTCGAAGGAGAATCCCTGGTTTACGGATCCGAAGATTTCCCACTTCTCTTCTCATTCTATCAGCCTCTCGAGAGACTTTTAGTTTGTGTCCGCATGCCTCAAAGACCTTAAACAATGAAAACATTCATACCTTCTCCAGGATTCGAGCCCAAATTCAGTATCTTTCTTGCCACCATGTTAATAAGGTGACAAGATGTATTATAATTCAAGGGCTATTAATATTCGTAGAGGTAACAAAGACTGTGACATTATTAAAACGAAAACGACGTAAAGAAATTAGTATTCGAATTGTTTATCTCAGTAATGTCTTATATTAGAGTTTTCAAGTACAGTCTTAACAAATAAAAACTAAAAAGTCTTTAAATTTTAATAGAAAGAAAAAAGAAGTTTGCCATTGTCTGTATTGCAAAATGTCCTGAAAACGTTTTAACTAATACCATGGAAAATATTGCTGATTTAAAAAATCTTATGCTGCCGGTTAATTAATTTGGGTAGAACAACAACATGTATCTCTGGAATTATTATAAGCTCCAATCGTATGCATGATTTTTTTATTTGGTATTTTTTAATATTACATGCAATTAAATAAACTTTGCAAAGAAATATTTCATAAAAGCGAATATATCAAATACCTGAATTTTTGAAATTACTAAAAAGTCTCATTGAAAGATTTATAAGGCACCAAAATTATTATACTCTTATATCTGAAAAGAAAATTTGATTTGAAGATTCTGATATTATATTACTTTTCTAGGAAATTGGTTCAATTCTCATTTTCCAATTTGTTCCGTGAGGCAGTATTTCATTTACTTTATTGCTAAGGAGAAATATATATTATTCTTGGAGAAAAGCATTTAGAATTTGAGAATTAAACCGATGAGCACAGAGAAGGTGAAACAGAATATTCAAATTTTTCTGATATTTCGGAAAACGAGGTTTTTTTTTTTTTTTTTTTTTTTTTTTTTTTTTTTTTTTTTTTTTTTTTTTTTTTTTTTCCATGATCTAAACGGATAACTTATTGTTTCGAAAATCTAGAGAATAAAAATGTGAAACAGATGTATAAGAAATGAATATACTTTTAAAAGAATTTAGGTCAAACAAACTTGTTTTCTTTTAAGAAGATCTTTCAGTGTTATATATGTTAACTTTCTAATACATTAAAACATATCAAATGTTATTTCACAATATCCGAATCTGACTTAGTTTTCTGCACTCAAACAAGAATTTTAATCTCTAATCTCTGCAGATGTCTCGATTTAGACTTTTTTACATTCGATATTTTTCAATTAGAATTGAAATTTTGAATTGTTTTAGAGTACAATCGTTATTATCTCTTCCAAATCTAACTAAAATTATTTCAACATTACAACTAATTTAATTATTAGCTGAAGTATACTTCTGTTTCAGTTATACATTCTTTAACAACAAGGAAAAAGAAATTCAAAAAATTAACATAGGCAGTACGAATCATTCAAGAGTCAAAAAAATGGATGCATTCAAGGGACACGAGAAATAAAATACATCACTACAGTTTCAGAACGGACTAAGTATTTATTCGAATAAAGCAGCTACGAAAACGGAAGAAATGTGTTTTAGTGTCATGTAAGTAATTGCGTGAATCATTGGAAATACATGTAGTTCACATAATATTGCCAGATATTAAGTTCCAGTTACGTACCAATTGATTAGGCTATTCTGAAAGCATTCTGGAATGGCTATAGAATAGTATGTTGTTCTGGCATTTTGAAATGGCTACAAATTATTCTTCTCATCTTGCCTCAAAATCAGAATCGAACACAGGGATATTGTTATAAGTGTCGACATTACAGAAATGGTCTGAAGGAGACTGGGACTGTGTCTTTTTAAAAGGTTTCCAATAAAATTCTCCTACTATCGTAGCCAGTGGCGTGCGGTCCATATGTGCAAGGTGTGCACTGCACACCCTGGCAATATTATGAGACGCAATAATTTTCTGCACCTATCTTTATATGATATATAATAAATATTATTTATAATATATTCAAATATTATGTTGATTTGCTTGCTTGTATTCCCATAGTGCGTGCGGTACTAGGTGCTGCACCACGCAGCGCGTTCAAAAGCAAACGAACATAAAAAGTTTTGATGTGTACGCACTGCACTAATAGAAAATCACGCTTTATATGTATGGGCTACTGGAGAAGCACTGAGGCAAGTGCAGTTATTTTTCCTGCACTTGGCATTCAGAATCTAAGGTACGGTTTATTAAGCGAATCTAAGGTACGGTTTATTCAGACTAAGGTACGGTTTATTAAGCGTTGTATTAGAGCGGGGACTTACGTGCTGAAGCGGTTTTGGTTTTCTAACTGATTAACTGGCCATACGATTTTGCAGACGGTTAATGTTTAAATTTATATATTGTAAGATTTTGTTTTATGGTAATATAAAAGTATTTCATCAATATAAAGGGAAATGTTTTAGTGTGATAAAGTAATTTCGGTGATATATAAATATTTATAGAAATAATTCGCTGAAAAGCAATTCTGTTTTGTTAGACAAAAAAAAAGCGAATTTTAACAGAACAGTCCAAATTTTACCATTCATTGTGTCTTACATACAGTATATAAGTTATATCTGTCTAACACTATATCCCTGGTTTTGTTTTTAAAAATTGTCAAGATGTTTTTCGCAGAATATATGATTTCCAAATGTTAGAAAAAATTAATAAATATAATTTAATCCACTGACCGAACAAGAAACAGTTCGTTCTATTGTGCCAGCGTGCAGTGAAATCCTCTGCACGTAGAATAGACGTTCGGTTTGTCGGCTCATCCTGATGTCATCAGGCTGATGATGAGGCACGTGTGGTGCTACGTTTGCTGAAAATATAAATTTTTCGTGGAAGCCCGAAGCGTTGCTTTTTCGCCGCCGATATGACACCATACAACACAAGACATGACTTTTGCTTCAGCGCTAGTAGAATTATTGTAAGTTTAGCTGTTTTTACAGTTATACCTCGACTACTCGTAGGTAAATATTTTATTTATTGTATTCTTTTAAATTTATATTCATAATAAATAATACATAACACATTTCAAAATGGAGAACTCAGATATCTCAATAATTAAAGATTTATTGGAAAATCCATTTTCGAGACGAGACGTTACTACAAAAAAAAAACGAAATAGTTAACCTCTTCCCTTACAATTTTTTTTTTTTTTTTTCTTTGAAAAAAAATTGCAAAAAATCATCACATTTTTTTATTTTATTATTAAATACAACGAAACGAAACAAATCAAAATATGCAGGTTTTAGGTTGAATTTTTAATTTTTTGAAGCTGTGACAGCATTTAGTTTTAATATTAGTTTACTATCCCGAGTTATCTCGGGCAAACGTAAAAAAGTTAAGTATTAGTCTTTGTATGATAGTTTTTGACACAAGGGAGAACACAAAGTGATACCTGACATTCTGTACACTGGTATCTGGTGTCTTTTCTTACTGGCTTACCGATGGAATCTCTTTTACGGGAGCCCAGAGTACACTGTCTCCTTGGATTAGATTTTTTTAACTCTTTTTTTTTCCACCACTTCATAATCACTATCTGAAAAATCATCGCTTTCGCTATCTTGCATCATCGACATTATTTTACCTTTTTTCAATGCAAGTATCCTTCGTTATTCATAACTAAACCACAAGCCGACGTATACTATACAATAGGGAAACACGTGACCAGTCCCGTCAAAAGAACCGCGCAACCAACAAAACTTGGCAAACTACGAATCAAAGCTGAATATTTCCTTTTCATTTCCTCTATGCCGAGGAAAACCGTGATAAAACAAATCGTACTAACAAATTCTGCTTCGCCCGAGTTTTCTCGGTATAATAATTAACTGAAATATATAGGAACCCGAGATAACTCGGGATAATCAGGCAAGCGGTTAGATTAAGTAGACCGATGCCGAATGTTATTCTATTGCAAAACGTTAAAATTAAACAAGGACAACAGTGTGTACGATATTTTCAAAAATCTATGTATTAAAAATTTAAATGGTTAACCGGTTGTAGTAAGTTGTACCGTTGGCCATGTTTACTTTTTGTTAAAATTGAAAAGGACAAGAATATTTGGACAAAACAAGGCTACAGTGATTTAAATCATCTCCACGAAGCTGCAAAGAAACATGAAGAAACACAATCTCACATAAATGCCGTAATACTATTAAAAACATTTGGTACCACCAGGATAGATTAAATATTAGATCAACAAAAGGCTTCATCGATTGTTCAACACAATGAAAATGTAACAAGAAATAGAAATATTCTCAAGAGATTAAGAAGATGTAGCTTGTTACTTAGCAAAACAAGAAGATGCATTTCATGGACACAATGAGAATATAAATTCCCTTAATCGACGAAATTATATAGAATTAATAACTTTAATTAGTAAATATGATGACCTTTTAGCAACCCATCTAAGAACTGCAACTGTATTTTCTGGAACCTCTAATAGAATACAAAATGATATTATTGCATCAATAAAAAATATTGTAAATTCAGAAATTAGAAATGAGGTAAAAGAAACGCCCTTCGTTGCTATTACGCTGGATGAAACATCTGACATATCTCACACAAATCGCAATTATCGGTTGTGCTACGATATGTTAATAATTGTAGTGCACCAGTGGCAAGATGTTAGTGGTGATCGTTCAGCGGAAGCTTTGTGTAATGTTGTGCAAGAAACGATTTTGAATTGGGGGTTTGAGAATAAACTGATTGCTCAAACGTACGATGGGGCAGCAGTAATGGCAGGAGCGTTGAATGGGACGCAGAAAAAGTAAAAGACATTTTCCCAGAAGCTATGTTTGTGCATTGTTGCGCACATGTACTTAATTTAGTTCTATCGCAATCTGTATTGTTTATAAAAGATTCTGTAATTATTTTTGCAACAATTTCTGGCATAGCCTCATTTTTTTTTCTCATGTCTACAAGAAGAAATCATATTTTAAATTAAATTATTAAAAGAAAATTTCCAAAATTAGCTACAACACGTTGGAACTCTTCATCTCGTTTGGTAAATACCATAAAAAGCGAAAGGCAAGGCCTATCTGATTTATTTGAAAATATTATTGAGAATCCAGAAGGCTGGGATAACGATACAATTCATATTGCAAAGAGTTATCACATGTTTTTTGAAGAATTTAACAGTAATTTTCTCCTAAATATTTTTGCCAAAGTGTTTAGTTATACTGATGTTCTATTTGATATTTTACAAAAAACTGACTAAGATATAACATATTCTAGTCAAAAATTAGAGGAAGTAAAAGTTGCAATTCAAAATATGCGAACTTCTGTTGCATTTGATGAAGTTTATGAAGAGACTATTTCTGTAGTTGGTCTCCAAATTTCGTGTAAATTTATAAAACTCAAGTGTAGACCAAGACCAACATTTGTTGTCAGTTAGATGTCCGTTTTAAAAAATTAAATTCGCTCAAATTTTCGGAACTATTGAATTTCAGTTTCTTTAAGAAATATCAAAGTAAATTTCCGGATAAATGCCTTAATTCGTTAAAGAACGCTTATGCAAAACATTTCGATTTTGTAAAGCTAACCAATGAATTATGCGTTCTTTATCGTAGTGAGTCATACCACGAAATGAATTTATCGAAACTTATTCAGCATATAAGCTGAATGATTTGACAGATGCCCTAAGCGAAGTAAATAAATTGGCACATTTAATTTGTACAATTCCATTTTCAACTGCTTCGGTGGAAAGATCATTTTCAGCATTGAAAAGAGTAAAAACATATGCACGCAATACAATGAGCCAGGATAGATTAAGCAATTTATCTCTAATAACATTAGAAAAAGAAATGTTACTTTTATTACAGTCAAAACCAGAGTTTTATGATCATGTAATTGATGATTTTGTTAGTAATACGGATATACGTATGGATTTTGTGTACAAATGAATAATAAAAAAGTTAAAGAAGTGTTTAATGTACATTTTTATGGTTTTATTACTATTATTATTATTATTATTATTTTTCTCTGCACACCCTGCATGAAAACCTACCGCGCGCCACTGATCGTAGCTATACTTTATTACCATGAAAAGGTAAAAATGACTACCAAGGTAGTCCTATTTTCAGAGAAAACATTTCTCCATAGCCCATATTCCAGTTTACAAATTATTAAATTTTCTTCAAGCAAGATATTTTACGTTGCAAACAGCAACGCAAAATATCATTCTTCTCCTTGTACTATGTAACAAAATTCTGAGAACAATACGTGAGTTAATTTAAGCTTATAGGTATTTAAATTAGCATAACAAAACAAAAATTAATTTAGTTAGTGAGATACACTATGTAATCAACGATTAATTTCATCTCTTTTCATTGCTTTCAAATTTTCAGTATGTTTTGTATCCAAATGCATTAATGCATTCCCTTGAGAGGAAAGGAAAGAACGACAGCGCAGCAGAGAGTAATTGCGGAGTCTCGTTTTAAGCGTCTTGTTTGAGTTACTGCTGCTTACGACCAAAACATTTAGATTTAGATGAGATTTCTAATTACAATATCTCTGCGCGGTGGATGACCAGTGGTTCGAATATTCCTTTTCGCTTTTCGCAGCGATTTGAGAAAACCCATCTACTTGTTTCAGTTGAAACCGGCAAAAGCTTTGGGCCAGTGAAATATCGTTTTGTCAATATTTCTGCTTCCGCCTAAAACGGACTAGAGAAAACAGAGTACTACTTTATAAATGTACTAGTTTGTTGAAGTGGGTATAATCTTGTATTATTTTACGTATTACCTTTTGTGTTTGTGCGTAAATTATTTGTAAAGAAAATGGTTAGGTGGTGGTACGATGAATTTATGTCTGTCTTTATAATTGGGACATAATGCAATACATTGGTATAGTGTGATAATTTGATGATAAGGAACACTGATGTATCTAGAATTGTGGTCTTCGCACAAGCTCTTACCTCGTGCATACGTACGAAAGCGCTGATGTCAAAAGTTACCCCATTATAGGGTGATGACTCTGCTTGAGGATCATTAAGGTACTGGAATGCTACTCTGCTGACGTCTAGCACGAAGTCACTCACGTGACCTACTCGGTAAAAATAGTCTCCGGGAAAAGCAAAAAACTGACCGCCTCTGAGAGCCAAAGTGAAACCTCTGCATGGTCTGAAGTTCTGTGGTAACACTTGAAATTGAGCCCATGTGATAGGTCTGGAACATATACAGCCACATGAATCCTTGAATCAAGAAAAATATATAATTAGAAGTTTTGAAATTCCAATCAGCTTTTGTAAGTTCCTGCTTTAAGATCTAATAAATAAAAAGTTCATTATGTTGTGTCTTTTATTTTGTCGTTTTCTGAAAGAGAAAACTGATGTGAAACTAGATTTACCTTTTATCAGATTATTTAATTAATCATAAATAAAAGTCAATATATTACACTAAAATGAATTGAAACTGAAATACTTAGAGTTTAGCTGAACAGTAAATGATGACTCAAATTCTTTTGTGGTACAGATTTTTGCACCACAAAGAAAATTAATAGATATAACGAATTAGTTATAAAACTGTTCTGTACCGCAAAGTTATTAAAAAAATGAGTTCTGAACCACAAAGAAAATAATTAGATAAAATAAATTAGAAAAAAGAAATGAATTACAGGAAGATAGAAATTTTGCAAATTATACTTACATTTTAAGATTCGTACATCCGGTAGGAATCATCTAATAGCGCATAAACCGCAATAGAATAAACGCACTCTTTAAAGTTCACTATATTTATTTACCATAGCGGCACTTCAGCGCTAGTTTCACTTTACAGCATTAACATTCATATTATAACTCCAGAATGCAAATATATATATATATATATATATATCATCTGAAAAACTATCTAATCGTTACCACAAGTTCTATTCAAATACTATAATAAATCTAAAACGATGTTTAAAAGAAATTAAACAAATAAAAAATAAACAGTTTTTCAGCGCCGCTTACCTAATGCACATGTGCTACTAATTAATTCAGTTCTTACTTCGCGGCACGGCAAAAATACATAAAAATTCAAAATATTTTCATTAAAATTTGAAAGATATAGAAAAACATAAAACACCAAGTACAGTTAAAACAATTAAAATAACAATTTTTATAATTAAAATAACAGAATTCGAGAATAATGAAGCATAATTTAATTCGTATTAATAAAAGAAGACCTTACTTTGTTGTTGCGAAACTTAGTTTCTCTAGATTGGCAACAAATCCACTATTCTGATAGGTTTCAAATGTAAACAAACATGGCTGCCATAATAATCAAAATTTAGGCTTAGCCGCACTTAAAAATCTTTCCTATTGTAGATAACTCTACAATTATTGTAAACAGCTTAACTAAAAGCATAAAATCCTTAACCAGAACAACATAATTCAATCATTTTTAAAGCAAAAAATGCACAATTTTCAAACATATAAGAATAAAGAAACTGAGCTCACTGAACCGAGTAACAGTGTGGATATATATATACAGGGTGTTTCATAGATCATGGAACAAACTTGGAGGGGTGGTGGAGCGTACTAAAACATGCATTTTTTGTATAGGAATTTAGGGTCTAAAATGACGGGTTAAAGCAGGAACGCAAAAAAAAACCAACACGAGAGGAAAATCTGTTTATGTACAAAATCAACGCAAAGTGCTTCTTTGCAGCAATACAGTATTCACAGTAAATGTTCAAAAAATGGGAACACTAACAGTAATAGGAACTACAGGTGTGATTGGCTGGCAATGCAGCGGTAGAGTGTGGTAGTGAGCTGGACAAACCACGATCCTATGCATCAGAGGATCATTCGCAACTCTGATGTCGAGCGTGATGGGTGAGTTTAAGCACAGGGAAAAAGCTGACATGCATCTCATGTATTGTGCTGCCAATGGGAACGTCAGAGCAGCGCTACGGTTGTACCAGGAACGATTTACGAACAGGCTTATGCCGAAGCACACAATGTTCGAGAGATTTCATCGGTCTCTGTGTGAAAACGGGTCATTTGATGCCACCTCTGACACTAGGAGTGGAAGAAGAAGTGCACGACAACCTCGCATTGAAGAATCCATCTCGAACATTAAGCATGAATCACCTCAGACAAGTACAAGAGCTATTGCACGTCGTCTGCAGCTGAGTCACTCCACCGTTTGGAGAGTATTGCATGAAAATGGTTTGCACCTATATTATTTGCAGAGAGTCCAAGCCTTGCAAGATTACCCTCTTCGAGTTCATTTTTGCCATAGGTTCTTGCAACAGTGTGCGGCGCGGGCGGATTTCCCATCGGATGTGCTATTCACGGACGAGGCACCTTTCTCACAGGACGGCATCTTCAACAGCCACAACATGCACGTGTGGGCAACTCATAATCCACACGGCACACGTCCATATGCATTCCAAACTCGCTTCTCCATTGATGTGTGGGCGGTATTGTTAACGACTACCTCATAGGCCCATACCTCTTACCTTCATGTACAAATGGCTTATGTTGTCATATTTTTCTGCAAGAGATGCTATCGGAATTGCTGCAGGATGTTCCGGCTGTCGTTCGTGATCTCATGTGGTTCCAGCAGGATGGTGCACCAGCCCACAACTACGAGCGGGTCCGCAATTACTTGAATGAGACATTTCCGAGCCGAAGGATTGGCCGTGGTGGACCTGTTCGATGGCCACCCCGTTCGTCAGATTTATCCAGCGTGGATTTTTTTTATGGGGCCATCTGAAGAGACTCCCGTTGACTCACTGGAGGACCTCGTTGCACGACTATCCATTGCTTCTGCAAGCCTGCGCGAAATGCCTCTCGTTTTTCAAAATGTTCGTCAATCCCTTCTGCGATGTTACCAAGCATGTATTACTGCTGGTGGTTGCAATTCTGAACATTTATTGTGAATACTGTATTGCATGTAGCACTTTGCGTTGATTTTGTACATAAAAACATTTTCCTCTCGTGTTGTTTTTTTGCGTTCCTGCCTTAACCCGTCACTTTAGACCCTACATTCCTACTAAAAAATGCATGTTTTAGTACGCTCCACCACTCCTAAAAATTTGTCCCATGATCTATGAAACACCCTGTATATATATATCAGTGCGGCGGATTGCAACCAAAATGGGAGGTGCACATCTACATGTTATGCCAGTCTTTTATACAAAATTTCAACGTTTTGAATCTACACGTTTTTGAGTTATGAAAGATGCGTACGTACGTAGAGACGCCACGAAAAAAATCTCTTTAGAATTATTTTTAAATCAGTTTTATAACTTTTTTGGAGGGAGAGACTCTTTTATTCTGCATTTACGTACAGATGTCACGCAAAAACATCGTCAAATTGCATTCGATAGCAGTCAAAATAGATATTTTCGTTGAAACACGATATCCGAAATTAAGACTTCTTAATACTTTATTTAATTTTAGGGATAAATCGCTGTCTTTATGATAGAGCTTGCAGGACTATAACTATATTTTCAATTACTATAGCGTAACTTGAATTTAAGGAAACCACTACTATTTTAAAAACAAGGAGATATAAAAGTCAGGTTCAAAGGGATACGCAAGTATGAAAATACTTGGAAAACACTTGTAGTAGATTTTTTTCAAATTGTTGTCTTAAGAGAAAAGCTATAAAGTATTTTCTCCTTTCTTCTAGAATGTTTTCGTGGTGCAACGGTAGCACATTCGGCGCCTGTTGGAGAGGTCCAAGATCGAGTCCTGGCGAGGTTATCGCTCTCTTTTCGTGTCTCCTGCTTCAAAAATAATAATAATATTAATAATACAAAGTCTGACGTGGGCAGCACGTGACCTGCCACTTCCTTCCTTTTAAATAGCAAAGTAAAGTATTACTTCCGTTTGGTCATTTGTAGATAAAAACTAATTTGCTGTCACGCTTAATAGATAGGTCTATAATACGAAATTTTCAATTGCATTTTATTAGATATAATTGACCATGTGTAAAACCTTTTTTTTTTTTTTTTTTTATTTATTTATTTACACCAGCATAATCAAATATTTGCGCATTTGGTTTTTATTAAATGCTTTTTTATCGGCAGCAGATTGATATATTATTTTTTAAAAAGAAAAGATGTTTCATGTTGTTTAAATAAATCCTTATTTTAATAGTATTGAATTCTTGCGAATATACTTTAATATTTTTCTATATTTTTTTCCATAGTATCACAAATCTAAATTCATTTTTATTTGTAGTTGTATCTGTGCGATATTTAGATATCAGTAAACAATACTCGTTCAACTGCAATGATGTGATATGGTTTATATATTCGACGATGCGTTATATTGATTGCTCCAATGATGTTATGGGCTTAAATTAAAAAGCCACTTCCGGTTGTCCATTAAAAATTTTATGGGCTTCATGTAACACTTTCGGTTGTCTAGTTTTCCCCAAAATCAATCTAATCAACTCTTTATGTAAATGCAGAAAGCTTAAATATGGAAAGAATCTTTGGAAGTTTGATATAAAAGTTATCGTGGGCAAAACTTCGTCAATCATCGAGAAGTTCATTGGTACATTATAAAACGATTCTGATAATTAATTTTTATGCATAAAGGGAGTATTTCTTGCCATGATTCACTTTTATATGGCAGCTTCTACTCTCGTCTGTAACTTTAGCTCTTAGACATGTGACTAGAGAATTTGTCCTCATGAAGGTCCCCTTTTTTTATGTCCTTTCCATATAAGCCTGGAATTTCTCCTTCAATTATTGGTTCTAAAAATATTGTGCCGATAGTACAGTGAATTTAGCCTTACTTGAGATTTTTCTGAGTTTTAATTTACCCTTGTAACAGAATCTTGTAACTATCAAGAGTCTCCTTTTTCTGTATACTGAGGAAGATATTTCGTACGTTCAATTTCCATCACCTAAGCCATAAGAAATTGACTTTTTTATCTCAGTCATTTAAATACAGTAACCCATGCCTCATCGAGTGCTATCATAAATATCCATTTATCAGCTGCTAGATGTTTTTCATAAAATTTTCTACAATTTGTTTCCTTTCCGTAATACGTTTTGGCGCAATAGATTACTTTTGTGCTTAAACATCTTTTTCGACTTCAGATATTTATGAATGATTTTACTTAGAGAGCCAGAATACATTCCCTATTCTAATGCAATGGATCTTCGAGTCGATAGATTTTCTTATAAGCATTTACGTAAATATCGAGACATTCATCATTTCTGGTAGAAATTTATAAAGTAAATATTTCATTCTGCATTCCAATGAAAATGAAAGAGTAACAGACGATTGTATTGAAAATGCCAAACCTATACCTCAAAATGCTTACGAAAAAATTTTAATAGAATGTCGTTTTCGTGAAGTGTGAACGAACTCCTGTACATGCAGACAAGCATCGTTATAAAAATAATAAAAACATGTTGTGAGGACTCTGATGCATGTTTATACACAAAACATTCCCTACAGATTTTTTTTAAGGAAAACGTAACCTCGCTAACCTCTGTATATAGGTTGAAGGGAGGTAAAAATTTAATATTTTAAGCACCTTAATTTTAGCTTACACGTAAAGTTTGAAAACGATGACTATAAAGCTTATTTCCTTCTAATTAAAAAGATACAGAAATTTGAAACTGCTATAATACGTTAGATGAAAAATAATGGGTAAAATGCAGCCAGCACTTGTTGCGAGATAAGTTAAATAACAGTAAGTTAAAATGTAAAATAAGCTAGTCGACAATTCAATTTAACGCGAAGTTGGCTCACAACCTAACCGGCGCAGATACTCAAATAATAGCAATTATTGTGAAAATCCCAAGCTTATCTTAACTTTATCTTAGCTTATCTTAACCTTATCTGAGCTATTTGCAACTTAGTAACGGGGCCTCGAGAGGCAGAGCATGCTCTGTCTTTCAATTTAAAAACTTCAGCTTAAATACGCGCGAGTTAATTTGCATTCTAGCGAGAAACTGGAAAAAAGAAGCGACAGTAAATAGCCAAAACATAAAATAACTGGTTAGTTTAATATAAAACATAAACGCTACAATTTAGTCCCCAAACAAGTACTTAGAATTGCAATTAGTAAAGCTTCCGTCCTTCTTCACTTCGTTAAAATAAACGTTTTATAGCTTTAAATGAAAGCAACGCAGAGATGTACTTAATAAAACAGTGCTAATTAAATTTTTCAAGAGAACAGCTAAGCAGCTACTTAATGTAAGACCTACCAAACTACTAACCTAAATTTTGCAACAACTCCTTAATTGCTTTCTTAGATGCCCAGAATTTATGTCGGTAATATGGGATGATCTGCCAGCAAATTCCTAGTTGAATATGTTTATGAGTTTAGCAGATAAACAGATGCCAGTTCTAGCTTTCAACTCGGTAAAGCATGAGTGTCCAATTTTTTAGATTCTCTTCTAACTTTCTCTTACTCGTTATTCATAATGTAAAACGGTTTCATTTTGAATACAATTTCAAGCATTGACTTAATTGGAAACACCATTTAACAACTGCTTTTATCAGGATATATATATATATATATAAGGTTATATAAACTGCTCATATAAGTAAGCCGTCACACCCATTAAAAGTCATCCAAGGAATTTTTCATTTTCAAAATCATATATTCTCACTCTAATTTTTCGGTTTAGAGCGTGGCCCTATATCTACAGGGTTCCGATAGGAACGTTAGTGCAATGTATATTTTACTAACAGGAATGTTTAATCAATAGGGAGTAAATAACATGTTAGATTTAAATTTTAGAGCCGATACTAACACAGCACAGCCATCAAATATTAGATTTGATTGGCTCATTTAATTTGTTGTGTCATTTTTAAGTATAAGGTGACTTTATAATTTCGTATTCATTTGAAAATTTTTATTGGACGGACTGGTTTCTGCTGTTATAACCGTAAAAGGAAATAACAATTATATTGCTTGTTTGGAGTTGAAGCAAAGAACTTGAAGAGCATTCCAGAAAGAAAGGAGATTCCGAAGGAATTCTTCCCTTTTGGGAGTTTTAGAGGGTGATTCCTGGACACTGAATATGGAAACTTAACGAAGCAGAGGCAATTTGCCTAGGAAAGAATATTTCCCTGGCCATGGAAAATTAGCCACGACTAAGAGATCTTTTTAGAAAATCTTCTTAGACCCTGCGATCTTCTTAGAACCACCGACTAATACATTCGCCTAATCTGGTTGCCAGGGTAAAACGGGAGAAGGTATAACGCGGGCGAATAGCAGGTGTTGGATCGTAGCCGAAATGAATACTTCGTTCAGACGATGGCTTTGTTGTCATACATCTTTGTAATTTAAAAAATAAAACCCATTAAGTTCATTGATACCTGTTAAGCATGGTGTAAGACACAGCCAATCAGGAAGCGGAAAGTTTCGCATGCGTAAATATATATCTAACTCAGTGAAGCCGTCGACTGATGTTTGCTTCGCTGTGATGGGTGAACTCTTATAACAAGTGGTATAAAGCTGAAAAGTTAGGATATTTATGCAAAATGTTTAAACCAGTTTTTCTGGGGTATCAGGGTCTGGTTGCCTAGCAATGAAGCTCATCTTAGACCACTTATGATTTTAAAACCACCTTTTAAACGAAGCTGAAGAAACCAAAGGTTCGGGGGGACGGTCCAAGATACTCCGATTTCTAAGTGCGGAAGAAAAGACAGAAAGACCCAAGGAACGGGGTTGTAACTTTTTTTCTAATCTCCTGTTTAGCTCAACAGAGTACATGATATGGACGGATATCCAAGGGAAGCAACACAGAGCATGGGGACCCCATATGCCCCCATTCCGCTATCGAGCTACATTAATCGATGATTGCGTTGGAAAGCAGAGTTTCAGGTGCAACTTGCTTCGTCCCGCGACTCAGGGTGGCAACACCGTTGAATCCACTCCTCCCTGGACGGAAGACGAAAATCTCCTGAGGAAGGAGAACACTAGAAGAAATTATTTCGGACATCCACAACCTGGGAAGAGTACCAGAGTACCCTGTGATCAATGTCATTAAAACCGGGTTCTAATCTTTCTGCTCGCTACGAACTATCTGAACTATCAACTTCGCTATGGAGTATCTAAGCTCATGAGCTTAATGTAACAATACATGTATTGTTTTATATATGCAGTAATTTATGATTACTCTTTTCCCTAAGATGATTTTATTTAATTGATAAGTTATTCCAAATATCTTAAAATATAATATTCCCTCGAATGTACTGTTTAAATGAGAAAATAAATGAATGTTATACCAATTAAATATAGTATTTATTTGGAAGTTCCACTGATAAGTTGTTTATATTTTTTAGGTTAAATTCACTTACATTTATACTGATATGGTTGTATTAGCTATTATACAGAATAGTTCCTGCTCATTATTTAGTTTAAATTAATTATTTTTATATTTAGAACTATAACTAAATTTTCTATATAAGAAATTTAGGCAAAACAAGACTGTCTGACAAATCTCAAGCAGTTTTAAATATAAAATACAGGATATGAAAACCAGGGATCTTCTATGACTAGTCTTGCGAGGGGACTTTCCAGTCGATGCGTTCAAACTGCCTCCCTCTGCAAAAGACAATATAAGGTATTTCTCCGCCTTCTTAGCATGCCTTCGTAATGTAATGGTCAGCACATTCGGTACATATTAGAGAGGTCTGTGGTTTGAGTCCCGGCGAGGGCATTGCTCTTTTTCCATGCTTCCTGCTTCGAGATTTAGGTGGTGAAGAATCATCATCCACTACCAGGATTTGGCGATTGGGTTCCCTTAATCCCCAGTCTTCCATTAAAAGGGGGTATATAAGGTATTTCTCCCGCCATCTTAGCATGCCTTCGTGGGGTAGTGGTCATTACGCTCGATAACGCGTATTCGAGAGGCCCGTGATTCGAGTTCCGGCGAAGACGCTGCTCATTTTTCATCTGTCCTGCCTCAAAATAACCTAGTGTCTCTACAACCGTATTGTTTAGCATGGCATCAAGAATAACAAGACTGATGTAAATAAAACAGGTCGTAAAAAGCGGACAACTACTTTGATGCAATTAATATGCATTTTAACAAATGATATCTAACTAATATACATCATCTAACATATAGCAGCTACATTTATTTTAAGTAACATATGTTAATATATTTAGCGAACAAATGTTTAACAGGCAATTGAACGCACTCTGATAATGTGGATATTCGATACTTTCAAAGTGTACTTTAATTCACTGTTTATTCCTCCGGATATTCTGTTTTAGAAAGTCTTGGACAGCATTTACCAATGAATAAAGATTTTCTTTCATTTTCCAATGCACATAACAATTTCTCTTTCATTATAACTAAAGCACATACACATACTACCAAGCTCTTTCTGCAAATTAAATACTTATGCATATCTATAGGAGTACATGACAAAAAAATCACTAAATTATGGAGAACACATTACTATTCACACGGCTACAGGAGAGAAACGAGTTCTACTTGTTTTATGAGTATTACTAATTGTTACAAGCATATTATATAATTTACACATTTATAAGTCACATATTAATAACATTATCTGAAAATCTATTGTAATCAAGAAATTATTCAAATTTTGCATGAATATGACATAATTTAAAATTAAGGGAAAAAATATTTTTTTTCTCAAAATTACACACCTACCTTAAAATAACAATTACAAGGATTGTCGTTAACAACTTGTCTTTCAGCTAGAAGTGTTCCATTTTCGTCTGGCTGGGCTAAAGAAAGGGCGATGACCCCAAAACTCCAGATTGAAAGAAACAGAGGTAACATTTAAAATTCTTCTTTGACCTTCCTTCAATATAGCCAAAATATCTATAATATATTAAAAAAGGTAATTCAAGCAAATATTTGAAGGCTTTCTCTATTTACTTTAACTAATGTTTCAAATTATAGATAATATTTTATATTAATCTCAATATTTATAGGATGCGTTTGAAAAAATATGCAGTATCTGAAATAAAATTAATCCATACAATGAAGTATCAAAATCTTGATAAATGTGGATAAAAGAGTCTTATTTTTCTTCCGAAGGTCGTTAACAGATAAGAAAGTAACTGATTTAACATGAGAAAAAAATCATATGCAGGAAATGAATTTCTATTTAAAGCAGATAATTTAATTTTCTAAAATGAGACAATAAAAGTTTTCTCGCACAACTTTATATTGTAAGAATACTAGATAGCAAATTGGTGCATGATATGTGATTTTATTGAATAAAAGCAAAATCCCTATTGGATTAGATCTCCATGCATTTACGTCATTAATGAGAAATTACGGAAAGAAAATGTCCTTTTTTTCGTTCATTCTTTAACATCAGCGAATAATGAAGATTTCATCTAATTTCAAGGTTATGAAAAAGCAATCAGTAAAGTTAAATATTTGTACCTGTCAAATTTGTTAACGGAATTTTATATTTATCCCCCTGAATTTTCCCTCTATCATTGTCCAGTCAGTGGAAATTATAACTATGAACTGTTACGAGAGGGAAAATTCTGTATTGCATTTTTAAAGTGTTACTATTTGGAAGCGTTACGTTAACTCACACATATTCTTTCGCTACTAAATTCGTTTTGACTATGCTTTTATGAGTGTAAAATGTCTTAAATAGATATTAAGATATCATTTTTCTTCAGCTTCTGCATCAAAAACTTATAAAGAAATCAGATTAATTCCCAAACGCCCTAATTATAGTACATCACGGGAGTCTCAAATGTCTACTTACAATAACTCACGTGCAATAACAGATTAATTCCCAGATTACGATATGCTGTTATTACATTCACGATAAATGATATAACTGTCGAAGGTAAATGATATAACTGTTTCGTTTACTTTTTTTCATTTGCTTCAACTAAATTTCCTGTCTCGTTTCTTAAACATTTTAGGCTGATATTTAAGGCTTTGTCTTAAACACATTTGATACTGGTCCTTGCATTATTGAAAAAGTTCATACTTCTCATTCAAATTATTGGTTCATCCATTTAAAGGATTTCCTGAAAACAGCGGAATAGAAAGCAATTTTAATCTTCGCTTTGAATGAACAAGAGATCAAGGATTAAACAAAAGATCTGGAAACAAAGATTACAAAACTGTGATTGTCTTAAGTATAAAAATTATTCTAATTGCTGGAAGTATATACGTGCGAATTGTATTTGAATGTTATGAAATCAGTTGAAAGAAAAGAATATACAATTCAAACATATACATATACGCATATATAATTGTCATGATAAAAGCAAAGGAAAGGACGGAACACTGTAGATGCTTGATTAAACCCATATTGAAGAAGATTTTGATTGCGCAGTATGCTAGTAATGCTAACTTGGTTATATCTAAAGAACTTGGCAGTCGAAGCAGTTTTAATTCCATTTTTATTTCCAATTGATATTTGTGGCCACAATCACCTTGGCACTCTAGTTATGCATATTCAAGAACATTACATTTTTGATATAATTAAGAAGGAAAGCAAGCCAGCGAAATTACATCTTAGCAGAGTAGAGGGCAAAAGCTGAAGTGCGTAGTTATGCAAGATGGAAGAACGCGAAGAGAAAAGTTTTGGTTTACGGTTGATTGGTCGTTCAAAGGCATCTGGTATTAACGGTTACGTAAGATCGCATGATTAATTTGAATGACGCAATGCAGAGAAGTTATTACGATTTTAGAATAAAGAGGAAGAATTAATGTTTATAGTTTATCTATAATTTTGATTCATATATTTTTATCTTACATATTCCCCCTCAAAAAGAAAATTCCCCCAAAAAAAAAAAAGGCGTAATCGACAAAAGAAAAGAGTTAAAGCACAAGCAAAAAATATATAAATAAATAATAAAATTTTGATCCTGTAAAGTATTATTTATAAATATCAATTTTTTTTTTTAATAGATTCTTAATTTTTAGAGTCCTATTGAATTTTTCAACATTTCAGTCCAAAAGTCTTTTTGTTTGAGAGTTCACATAATCATAATTCATCGGGGAAGGTTCTTGTTATTACAGAATATCACAAAAACTTTTACATAATCATTTCTTATAATTAAATGTAATGCAACATAAATATTTATACTTATTTCCATACTGATAAATTATAATTTAACATCATAAATAATAGGATTAAGATTTTCAGAATTTATGGTTTCACCGTTATCATCTTTCATTTACAATTCCTGATTTTACCAAACTGGAAGCCTCGCAATACTTCTAAACAAACATATCCATCAATAGGGCTGTCCTCTTGAGCTAACCAGTGTGTTCTCTGCACTGGTGGCCCAGGGTGCCTAGGCAGTTACTTGAAAAGGCCTCCGTTCCTTGCATTAAGGTAACTGGCCTTTGAGAACTGCACTAATACATTCCATAATAAAAAAATATAATAATAATAATATTTAAAAAATTACAAACACTCATAAAATGAGAGCCTCCAACATTATCTTACTTGAAGAGGGTGAAGGGAACAACTGTACAGAGGTAATTACAGGCCTCTGTTGAAGGAACCAGTACACCCTCATCATACTTTACTTAACACAGAATAACCCATAAATTTTAACATGCATTTACCATAATTTTATATTACGTATCTGTAACAATTTCACTTATTTTTTACACCTACTTCATTTTTAGAATAATTATAAAATTCGTATTCAAAATTCTCAACAAAATTTCAAAAACATAAAAACTTATCCTTCCCTATGAATAATTTAAATAGCTTAAATTTCGTTACTTAAATCATGACATATATATATATATATATGTGTGTGTGTGTGTGTGTGTGTGTGTAAGATAAAAAATAATCTAAATCAAAATTATGATTTAAACTAGTTTTAAACCCGTAACTTGCCCTCTGTATTCTGATAATCCTAACTTGAACTGCATCATTTCTAGGTCAATTCATCTTGAACGACTCGTAAATACCTCATTGGGAACCTAACTCCCAATTTCGAGAACTGAAATGTTTCTAACCTAAACCAAAAATCTCCTCTTGGTGAGACTTCATATTTGATAATTTCGTAGCTTTCATCTTCAGCTCTTCTGCAGTCAATATTTTACTTGGCTTATATTCCTTAGTCGTACTAATAATTATGCCATTATATAAAATGTGATACTTTATATAAAATTGCGGTGTGCGTATTGCATCCATGATCATCCATGATCGTTTTCGATAATTAGTTCGTTTCCACCAATAAAAATTATATTCAATTGCCGCCAATAAAAATTAAATTTGTAGACACGTGTCTACAAATCTAAAAATCTAGTTTCATTTTTTTAACTAAAGTCTCCACCCCCAGGATTATAACTCAAGAAAACCATCGTTAATCCGTAATCTTACTTCAGGTCATCATATTACATATATAGCAGGGGTGGCCAAACTTTTGGGATCCGTGGTCTACTCCACATTTAAAAATCGAAGGCGGTCTACCAGTGGCAGAGCTAAAGTAACGTAACGTACATGTTTATATATTTATTTTCTGTAACAAGAAAAAATGGCATGAATGAATTATCTAATTTTTCTAAAAAAACTTTATATTAATATTTACAAAATAAAGTTTACTAATGAAAATAATCAAAGTATTTATGTATCAAAAATTGACCATCTTATTCACTTCGTTTAGTTAAAATTTTGCACTGTATATCTGCGAGAACTTTATCATATTGTGGCTGGTAAGTCAAAGTCAACAGCACACCAAAGTCAATAGCATAGTATATTCTTTCCTTAATAGCCCTGGACAACCTAATTTCACCTTTCTTGCTTCTCCGAGAATTGTTGCGGATTTTATTAGCTCTTTAAAAACTAAAAAAGCTGCTGGATGTGATGGCATTTCTTACAAAGCAGTCAAGCATCTTCTAATTAATGCAATTACGTGCTTAACTAAAATAATTAACTCAGTTATCAAGCTCTCTTACTTCCCAAAAGTATGGAAACATGCAGTTGTTGTTGTCTTCCCTAAGCCTCATCAAAGTTCTACTTTTCCTCAAAATTATCGGCCTATCAGTTTACTTAGTCAAATTTCTAAAATTGCTGAAACAATTATTCTGTTTTATAATAATCGAATCATGCCTCATAGCTCTTATACTCCTAATGAACAATTTGGATTCAGACATCTGCACAGCACCTATCACCAGTTTCTCCACGTTATCAATTACATTACTGATGGATTCGATTGCAAATTTCCTACCGGCGCAATTTGCTTAGGTATTGCCAAAGCCTTTGACAGAGTGTGGCACCAAGGACTTATATTCAAACTAATTCAGCTCAATTTTCCGAACCACTTTATTCGACTTATTGCCTCTTGCCTCAGACATCGCACTTTTGCTGTCAAATTTGGAAACACCCTTTCAACTACTAGAAATGTTACTGCAGGTGTCCCTCAATGCTCCGTTCTCTCTCCTTTTCTTTACAATATTTATACTCAAGACATTCCAAAAGAATCTCATATTACTATCGCCTTATTTGCCAACGATACCGCTATCCTATCAACAAGCTTCAACCATCAATTACTATACAAATTTTTCTACAACTATTTGGAGCTTCTTGAAACTGGATGACGCTGTGGAGAATCGCCGTTACCACTGACAAAACCAAAGCCATTATTTCAGAAAAAGACAAACAAACTCCTTCTTCCGCCTAATCCCATCTTCTTTTGACGACGAAAATTCAGTGGACGGATCAAGTGAAGTATCTCGGAGTCACACTTGACAAAAACTAACTTTTCGGCAACATTTACACGAAACTGTCAGGAAATTCAATATCTCAATAGCTACTATGCTTCCTCTCCTCGGCAGACTATCAATCTGACTATCAACAATAAGCTTATTTATACAAG